ATTTTTTTTAGTTTTACACCTTCTTAGGATCGTTGAATGAGAGAAATCAAAAAACGAGATTAACAATAGGAAATGAGAAGATATTTGCTGGAAAAAAAAAGAGTTAATCTCAGTCTTTGATTTTTCTTTATCCAACAATCCTAAAAGAATGTAAAACAAAAAGTTTTACACTAGGTGTAAGTAGATCCTAACTCTATTTTTTAAAGTTAATACATATTTTTAAAAATAAAATAAATATAAGATGTATAAAATGTTATGAATTTAAATTAAATTTTAAATAATGTTATACAAGGTATATATTATATATTGTAAAACATAAACCGTTCAATCCTCTTGCCTCAATGGTTGGTAATAAATATTATGGTAAATTACGTATTTAGTACTTAAACTATCAGTTTTTGTACGTTTTAATATATAAACTTTTAATTTTTCAAAAGTATACTTAACATTTAGTTTTTGTTTCATTTTACTATCTCACCGTTAAAAACTTAACGACACTCAATTTCTTTATGGGTAAATTATATTATTCATCACTTAACTATCTTCTCACTCCCATTTTGGTACAAAAGTTTTAAAATTTTAAATTTAACTGCTCAACTTTCAAATTGCTCATATTTTAAACACTCTAATTTATTTTATTAATAATTTTTTTGACATGATATTTTAGTATTATTTTATTAATATATAATTAAAAATAAAAATAAATTTGAAAGTTAAGTAATTAAATTAAAAAAATTTAAACTTTAAAGACCAAAATAAGAATGAGAAGATAGTTGAGTGATGAATGATGCAACTTACCATAAAAAAGGTGTCACGTGCAAATCATCCGTTAAGTTTTTAACAGCGATGTACTAAAACGAAAAAAAACTAAATACTAGGTATCATTTTGAAAAATTAAAAGTTTAGATACTAAAACATATAAAAATTAATAGTTTATGTACTAAATACATAATTTTCCCCAAATATTAATGCAGAAAAGTTGAGTGGCACAATCTTGTTGGTAAGAAGCCGCATGCAAATTAGGGTATTCCACAAATAAAATAAAATAAAAAAGCAGGGTCTTCTTGGGTTTATTTTGACCCTATCTTAGCTACTCCTTTCATTTATTTTATAATCTCAGGTCTTATAATTGGACGGCTATGATTATTGATCAACTTGACTTCACACACGGGATATCTTTGATTTATTAGTTGTTAATCTTCTTTCTTTCCGGTGGTCTAAGGACGGTGATGCCTCTAAATACAGCTGTCATCTCTTTTTCATTTACTTATCCTATCAAACTAATAAAGAATTAGACAAAATAAATTAGTTTCGAGATCACGAAGCAAATTATTTCAGTGGTTAAAGGAATTGTTGTTGTTCTTAAAGCTTACATGTTTAAACACCAACGACTGCAAGTGAAATCAAATATTTATTGTCAAATGGTTGAGTGTACTTAGAAAAAATGTTATTATATAATTACTTTTAGCTTAATAAAAAATAGTTCTGAGAATATAATTTTGAATTTTGAAATGATGATATACTTATTTAAAATAAATTTAGATTTAAACGAGATTAATTCAAGTGGTAAGTAACTTGATATTGTTTAAACAGATCTCGAGTTTAAGGCTTTATCTATACAGAAAATCTTTGTTGGGATACTCATCAACCAATATTTGGTGTGCGATGTGGATCGATTATAATTAGTCAATGCAAGAGGACAAAAGAAAATTTATATTAAGATAAAAATTCGAAATATTCATAAAAATAATTAGAGAAAAAATGAAAAATATAAGGATAAATCAAGGTGGTTTTGAGTAATTTATTTCAAATAATTTATTTCTGTCCTTCTGAGTTATTTGTTCGAGTGTTCGAGATATTGCAATTTTATTTATTTTTTTTCAAATTCAAACAACACAAAGCTTAAATAATTTTAAGTTTGGACTGATTTTGAGTTAATTTAATTCCAATTTGAATTAATCAATTGAAATTATTTTTTATATAATTAAATTTAATTTAATTAAATTTAAATGGATCAAATCAAAAAAAAATCAAATTCAAATCTCAATTGATAAATTTAATTGGATGACATCTCTTTAACATTGAAAAAGAGATATACTTCAAACTTTTGTTTTGATGTACTTCAAACTTTTGTTTTGATATACTTCAAACTTTTGTTTTGATATATTTCATTGTTTTGATAAATTATACTTTTAGTATCTAAACTATCAGTTTTAGTATGTTTTAGTACCTAAACTTTTAATTTTTTCAAAACCACACCTAACGTTTAATTTTTGTTTCATTTTAGTACCCGCCGTTAAAAATTTAATGTGTTTAGTACCTAAACTATCAATTTTGATCCTTTTAATACCTAAACTTTCTATTTTTTTAAACTTAATGTTAAACTTTTAACAGTGTACTAAAATAAAACAAAAAATAAAGTTAAGTATAGTGTTGAAAAAAATTAAAAGATTAGATCCTAAAACGGACCAAAAATGATAATTTAAATGTTAAACGAATGATTTACACTATTTATAATTAGGGAGTCCTTCAAAATTGTTTATTGGAGAGTTAAAAGTTTGGCCACAAGTCTTCCTCAATGATTCTAACCAATAGGTGGTAGGTAGCGGATGCTGAGTCGTACTCCTCGCACCATCGCTCTTGGAAACTCAAATCCTCGTGTAAAAATGATATTATTATTATTATTATTATTTGGAGGAAGTACAAGATAGTATTTGTTTAAAAATAACTCTCAATTATTTAATATTGAACTCTCGTACTTCTGACATTACCAATGTTCAAATCTGAGATCTCAAGAAATAACAACAGTTCATTTACCATTAAGGTTAGTGGAGTTCGTGCTTATTACTTTGTTAAATAAGGGTAAAGTGTATAAATGGTCCTGACTATATGGTATTATTTTGTTGAGCTCTCGATTATTAAAAGTTACAAAATAATCTCTAAACTATAAGATATTACTTTATTGAGTCCCTCAACTATTAGAAGTTACAAAATGGTCACCAAATATTCATATGTTTGAAACTTGTCTTTTCCCATTAAAATTTGATGATCATCTAAGTTGGACGTTAACTTGCTGATTGAGATATGATAAAAACTTATTGTAGAAACAATTTCTTTTCTTAAAAAAATAACAGATTTAATTTTTAATTAAGTGTGATTTTAAAAAAATATCGTCTCGATTAATTTGGTGTTTCCTTTTAAAAATTTAAAAAATGTTTCAATGAGTCGCCACCAATCTTTGATTAGGGTGTGATTGGGCACCCAAAATGGTTGTCATTTTAATAAACATAATTTTAATTTTATTAAAACGACGTCTTAGGTCTACGTACAAAAAAAAATTTGAGTTCGAGAGTCAATTACGCTTGTGGAAGAAATAACACCCACAACGCCCTAAATCGGTACCTAGTCAATTAACTAGTTGTCTTCGCAATTAATCTTACAAGTTCGAATTTAATTTAATTTAAGATCCCTTCGGATAATATTCTTTGAATTTTAGTAATGAGAAATGAAAATATTTAATTATTTCCTATCGAGAAGAAAATACCTCTCATGCCTTAAAGCAGTCAATTCTCACTCCAATCGAAATAAGGAAACATTACTATTTCATTCAAAAATTCATTATTAACTTCAAATGCATGAATAATGATAAAAATAAAAAAAAATATTTAAATAATTAAATATGAATTACTAATCTTTTTAAAAAAAGAATAAGGATGTTCAATTATTTAAAGACATCGAGATCAGACCTTTTATAAGTTCAAACGATATTTTCTCGACGAATTTAAATAGACAAACATTTTTTTTTCTCTCATTCTCAAATTCTAGGTGTGGTCAATTTTTATGATTTCACTTGATAGGATACAATTTCGTTTTTAAAATTGTCGGAAATAACTTTCTTATGCTTCAAGATAGTCACTTCACAACAATCGTAAAATGAAATGGTATAGCCTTTATTCCAATTATTTGTACATACTAATTTCTTGGATATGTAGATGCCTTCTTCAATTAGTTGTAAGTATTTGTTTTTGCATGTTTACATACGTATGAGTATGCGAATGAATTACTTCTAAATTGCATGACATCACTTTCGTATAATATGTATGATATCCTCATGAGCATAACTTCATCTGATCAAATAATTAACGAAACCTACATGTTATTTAAGCACATTAAGGTAGTTATAATATCTTAAATTTGACTAAAGGTAAGTGTATACACAAAAAATTATTGTAAGGCGATAAATGTACCTAAGCTAATTTATGGGATAGTTAAAGGAAAAATTATTATACCAAGTTTAATAAAAGAGTGACAATGATTAGAGCATGTTTAACAATCCCTAATTTAAATGATGCATTATAATATATGCACGATGTTCACAAGAAGCCCAAGAAAAGCACACATAAATATTCATGGCAATATGTACATAAATATAACGGTGGACCCAAATATAAAAATGCAAACATGGCAGACCTAAAATGGAAGAAATGGAAAATAAGTGAATTTAAAAAAACATATGACCAAATTAAAAGGAACTGCAAATCTAATTTTACCAATAAATACTACGAAATAAAGCACAAAAGTCCTATCTTTCAGGCACTAGAGCCAAAATAATCCCAAAATAGGCGTTGGACTAAAATGCGAATCACGAAATGACACGTTGAATGTATAAATAGTATGAAATACAAACAAGCAACATATACTAAAATGAAACATGCAAAAATTTAGAGGCCAAATGTCTAAAACAACATAAATTAAAGAAAATAATACTTGGGACTGGACTGGAATATGCGTAAAATATAGAGACAAAATTACAAATATGAAAACCTTGATATGAGGACTAAAATAAATTAAAATGAAAATTTGCATGGCCCATAAAGTGAATAAACCATCACCGTTAGACACAGGTTGCCGTAACTTCCGAAACGCTGTCGTTTTGGAAGTGATATGAATATGATATTTTGGGTAAAGAAAAAAACTAGCTCATTTGAATCAGTCCCCTTTTTTTTTCTAAAGCTCGTCATTTTCTCTCAACTCCCCAACCTTCTCTCTTTTCTTATTTCGTTCTCTTTCCTTAAACCAACGACACCATGGTCGTCTCCCTTTAATTGGCAGCTCCGACTAGGAGCCTAAAACTTCCTACACCACTCTCGCTTCTCTTCCCGACCCTTAAAACCGACCAAACCCGATGAGATACTCCTCAAAACTCCCCAAATAAAATCCAAGAAACAGATTACCTTCGGCTTAGGGGGTTTTTACTCCAAAAGATGACGGCGATGCCCCTTTTCCAATGGGAAAGGTAAGATCTTTGCCTTTCATCACTCTTTTTCCCCTTTTTTTGGGTATTTGGATGCTCACTCAAATAAAAAAGGGACCTTTTCTTTTGTTTTTCAGTTGCTGAAGAGAAAAATAACTTTTTTTTGGTTTTGTGTTGCTGTTGGAAAGGTGATATCTTTTTTTAATGAGGTTCCTCCCACTTTTTCTGCTCTTTTCTTGCCGTTATATCCCCTCTGCCTCTTTTTTTATTTATTTTTTCCCTGATATTTTCCTTGTTTGCATGCGAGGGACTGTTGGAGTTTTGCTTCGGGGTGGCTCTGCCATTGTTGAGGGAGTATGGAAGGGGAATACACAACCGTTGTAGGTGCTCAGGTGCAACAGAGACAGACGCGTGAACGTGTGGGGGACCAAGGCATGAGCACATGGGCTGGGCGAGAGAGGTTCTGGTGTGTGGGAGCATAAGAGGCGAGCGTGCATCGCGTGCGTTGGAATAACAAATAGTTGGAATCCTTGATTGGAAACTGAGCCTTTGGATCATTGATTGGATCTAACGCTTGACGTTTTGCGACGGTGGTAGTAGTTGGTGTTAAACCCTAAACTTGGATGCTGGTATGAATCATTAGATCCTTACTCTGGGTCTTCATATTAAGGTCATTTGTATTTGGTTTTGTAATTAGGGTCTGCAAATGACATTGATAAAGATTAGTGCAAATTAAATTAGTATTTTATGTATGTAAATATATTTGATTTAATTATTTATATATATTCATAGACTCGCATATAATATATATTTATACGTATATAATATAAACACACACTCATACCTTCATATATATATATATATATATATATAATGTTATATATGTACATATACATAAATATAAGTAATGATATAACCATATAATAAATGATAATGATGTATATGTATAAACACACCCATGCATAAGACACATATATATTCACACATAATAATATATACTCGCACCCACTATATATAACATATTATATATTAATTAACTTACATATATATTTAATAGAAATTATTAACCTAGAACACTAAACATTAATTAATAGTATCATATGTGAGTATATATATACACGAAATCCCAGTTGCCCCTCTTTGCTTATTATTGTGTAAGTAAAAATAGGCAAAGACGAATAGATACGAATTTTGTTCAGTTGTTACCAGTTCAAAAAGGTAATTCGCTCCATTGCAATTTCAGGGTAAGTCGGATGTAATATGCCCCATTGTTTTTCTAGGTAATCAGATCTGAAAATTTTTTATTCACTTCGTTGCTCTTCAGGGAAGGTTGAATCGAAGTCGATTTGCTTCATTGCTCTTTAGGAAGACCAAATCTGAAAGAAGAATCTGGTCCACTACTCTTTAGGGGAGATAGACATGAAAAAATTTGATCCACTTCACTGTTCTTCAGAGAATGTTGAATCAAAGTAGATTTATTTCGCTGCTATTCAGGAAGATCAAATCTAAAAGAAGAAGAATATGTTCCTCTTTTTAGGGTAATTAGATCTTGAAAATTTTTGATTCACTTCACTTCTCTTCGGGGAAGGTTGAATCAAACTTAATTTGATTCTCTTCTCCTCAAGAAGATCGAATCTGAAATTTAAACATTATCACTTATTAGTGTATGTTTGACAATTTGAAAACATCTTACCTGAAGGTTTAGAACTTAGGAGGATCTTTGAAAATCAATTTCTCCTTTGGAAAATCATCTTGCAACCACCAAATATGGGAATCTGCCCTTACTCGAGTGCCATTTGAACCTCCCCTTTTTGGGACTTTGAATTGGTTACTTTTATCTTAAGGTTTCAACATCTTCAACCTTCAACGTTATTTTGGAAGACCTGTAAATACTCACTTGCATTTATTATCATGCCTTTTATGAATGTCGTGATCCTATTTATGCCTAAAATGTGTGAAATAATGCAATTTTAATGTATTTTCTTTTTCAAATAAGAACCCTCTTTCGTTGGTCGTCTTATGACTCGGTCAATCTTGGGCACAAAAATCATGACTAATTCACCCCAATTGACAGTCTTGATCATATACTCTTTGATTGGATATGACTTTGGTTTTGTTCCTTCTTGAAATCCGACATTATTCATGACCAACTACTTGATTAGTGATAAACGTCTTGGATTATCTCCAACTTGATGAAACCTTTTATGTACTCCAAGGTTTTAATTTCCTGTAACCTATCACTATACAAGCCTCATGCTAAAACCATTGTCAGCTTTAGAACACCTGCACTTTCCAAAACTTTTTGTACAATAATACACGATGATCCCATGTTTTTCAAGTTAAACTACATGTTTTTAATTTCAAAGTAAGAAGCTTGTAAAAGGGAGTTAACAAGAAAATGACCTCTTTTTATTGATATAAATGTAAAGAGTTTTTTTTTGTAAATACATGGCAAACTTTTAACTAAAAAAAGTGGAGTACGTGTCCCCAGATATCAATAATATGAATGCTTTTGAACTGCCATGCCGTAGAGTGACTTAAGTGTAGCTTATGTTAAAGGGATCTTGAGAATTGTGACAATGCATAAGGGTGTGACGTTCCCTCTAGATTACCAAATATTCAGATGTTGGATGCTATAAACTAGTATTGAATCTAGTATGCCATCAATTTTTTATGGTTTTTTAATCGAGACTATTAAATCTCCAGTCTCAACCCTGATCACCATTTCACATTACCGTTCAAATAAGGAGCCCTTTCAACTTCAAAATTAATTCAGAACCTCCACCACATATAAATCCTGAATTTAAATGACACTCAAGCCACCCTTTGCAGGTTTTCAACTTGAGACCTCATTTAGTTTCAAGATGTCCTTTATGAATTTTCAACATATGGTCCTTCCCAATTTGGCATCCATTTTCCTTAGAAATCTTTTTGAATATGAAGGATCATTCTAAGACCATCTTTCCCTTGTGAAACTCTCGTGGGTGAATTTTCTTATATGTGCTCGTATCATGCATTTTTGGTACATTTGGCCATGACAAATAGCTTTCAATCTTTTTTCTTTGATCAAATTCAATTGGTCGTACCTAGCTCGTACCTATTCTGCCTCATCTAGTTTCACCTTTGAAAAAACTCAAACTCAGGGGATCTCTACTTCAATATGTAACATAGCTTCTATCATATAGGTCAAAGAAAATAGAGTTGCCCCAATTAACATCCGCACCGAAGTTTGATAAGCAAATAGAGAAATTGTAACTTCTCATGCCAGTCTTTATAAGTCTCAGTCATCTTCTCTATAAGGCTTTTGATGTTCTTATTAGCTGACTCTACTACCCCATTCATCTTCGAGCGATAAGTAGTGGCATTATAATGCTTTATTTTGATCTTCTCACAGACTGATTCTATCATCTTATTTTTTAGGTTCAAGGAATTTTCGAAAATGATTTTTTTCGGTAAACCATAACGACAAATGATCTCTTTCTTTAGGAACTTACAGACTGTTGACTGAGTGACATTTGTATAGGAAGTCGCTTTGACCTATTTATTGAAGTAGTCTATTGCTACCAAGATGAAATGATGACCATTTGAAGCCTTGGGAAAAAATTTGTCCAATGACATCATGCCCCACATAAGAACAACCACGAAGTTGTCATTATGTGTAATTAATGAAGATGGGTATGGATCTTATCTCTAAAAATCTGGCACCTGTGACATTTTCTGGCATAATTAACCCAATCAGTCTCTATTGTCGACCAATAATACCAAAATCTCATTATTTATCGAGCCATTGCATGTCCATTGGCATGGGTACCACACCCCCTTATGCACTTCGTCGAGAATTATTTTAGCTTTCTTAGCATCAACACACCTGAACAGAACCTGATCTGGACTTTTCTTGTACAAGATCTCACCATCAAGCATATACCCTGCAACCATCCTTCTAATAGTTCTTTTGTCATCTCAGTTGCCTGCACATGGTAACTTTGATATATGATATATTGCAAGATATTATAATACCAGGGATTTCCATCTTTCTCCTATTCGATGTTATAGTAATGGGTTGGATACTCATAAGTCTACATCTCAATGGGCATAATATTTGAGTGTTCGTCTATCTTAAATGTTGATGCCAAAGTAGCCAAGGCATCTTCTATTTGATTCTCTTCTCTAGGGAGGTAATTGAATGTTACTTCTTCAAATTGTTCGATAATCTTTATGACCAATTTGTGGTATTCCATCAACTTGGGATCTTTTGTTTCCCACTCTCCCCCGAGTTGATAAATTACTAGAGCTGAATTCCCATATACTTTGAGTGTTTTTATTTTACGTTCAATACCATCTCTCATACCTAAAACACAAGCTTCATACTCGACCATATTATTTGTGCAATCAAAATTCAATCGACTGGTGAAAAGATAATGTTATCCATTCGGTGAGACCAAAATTGCACTAATTCCTTGCCCCAAGGCATTTGAAGTACCATCAAAGTTCAACTTCCAATGTTCACTAGTAGACATAATTGTTTTCTCTACTAAAATAGCCATTAGATCTTCATCTGGGAAATAAAAAATCAACGGCTCATATTTTTCAGAAGCCCTACTTGCAGTAAAATCTACTTTGGCGACCCCTTTAACTATTTTTTGACTTACGTATTGAATATCAAACTTTGACAATAAACTTCTATCATCAACGTGTTTTTCCTCTGTCTTGGCCTTTATAATCATATCATCAACATAAACTTCTATTTTTTATGCATCATGTCATAAAACATTGTTACCATGTCTCTCTGGTATGTTTCCCTTGCATTCTTCAGCCTAAACGACATCACCTTGTAGCAAAACATGCCCCATGTTGTGATAAATTTAGTTTTTTTCATATCTCTAGTGTTCATCTTTATTTGATTGTAGCAAGAGAACCCATCCATAAACGAAAACAGGGAATTTCTAGTAATATTGTCCACCAGTGTTTCTATGTGTGGCAAAGGAAAATTATCCTTCGGGCTCGCCCTATTGAGATCTTTGTAGTCAACGCACATACAAACCTTTCCATCCTTCTTTGGTACTAGGATAATATTTTCCACCCATTCATGGTATTTGGTCACCTTAAGGAAACCATCATCGAATTGCTTCTTTACTTCTTCTTTAATTTCTAGCAGTATCTCAGGTCTCATCCTTCTAAGATTTTGTTGCACATGTCTATATTTTGGCTTTATCGGTAACTTTTGTACCACCAATTCTGTGTTCAAACATGGCATGTATTCATATGACCAAGCAAATACATCTTTGTACTCTCAAAGCAATTCAATCAAATTTTGTCGTCCCTCGGCAGATAAGGTGGTGCCAATCTTAACTTCTTTTGTATCTTCATTTTATCCCAGATTCAAAGTTTTAATGGACTCTTTATGAAGCAAAATCTGCTTATCCTCCATTTCCACCATTTTTAATAGTTCAGAAGGTAAATTACATTCCTCATCATTATCACAATCCTCGATTTCCCCTTGACATATGGGCAGCTCGAAACCAATCTCTGGGTCAATGTCATCAACATTCACGTTATTGATATCTGAGGTCCTGAAAGAATAACAAATGAGAAGATATATATACATATACAGGAGAATCTATCCCATATCAAGATAAATAGAAAGAAATAATAATATATAAATAATAACGAATGAAGAAATGCATGGGAGAATGTTTTCCACTTTGTAAATTAATAGAAATTCATCTTTCATTGAAAATTAAAAACAAATAGA